GAGCCCCCCCCTCCCTGTCCCAGTAATGGCCGGGGCTGTGCGTCCTCAGGTAGAGCTGAGGGCACTGGTGCAGGGACGACCTCGGACGAGCCAGCCCTAGGCCCTCAGGAAACCGCAGACAGACAGACTCTGGCAAGGGGTGCCTCCTTTCAGGGCTCACAGCGACTGCTGAGGGGCTGGAAAACTACCGTGGAGAAGGTGCTGACTTCTTTTTTTTTTTTTTTTGCAGAGGTTTTTGCTATAGGGCGCATGTGCTCACCAGAAAGACAGAGACAGAGAGAAAGTGAGAAATCTCCCCCCAGGGGGGATGGCCACACCATAATCCCTTCTCCTCCATTCTCCTCTCAGGATCCTGGGGATGCACACACACGCGCCACACACGCGCCCAGTGTGAGTTTTAAGCCACTGGGTCCGGGACTCAAACCGCAGTTGACTACGTGGGAGTCCAGCGACATAGCCATTACGCTAACTGCTGGTCCCAGGAGGACTCTGACTTCTGTGAGAGGAAGTGGCCCAGAGAGGCGTCTGCGTGATCGGCGACCCTGAAACGGCTGCTGGAGATGACGAGGCAGCTGCTAGAATGTCACTGGCCAGCGGCACAGGGGCAAGTGAGCGTCCTCTCAGGACCTGGGCCACTCCTCCCCGCCACGGCAAGGCACGCCCGCTGCCCACCTGATCTCCTCGGCGGAGAAGTTGACGATGGTGGGGATGAAGTTCTCCCGCATGATGATGGAGCGGATCTGCTTCCAGTCGGTGGTGCTCTCCCCCAGCAGCAGGCAGATGGACTCCAGCGCCAGCTTGACGGCTGCAGGGGGGTTGGCCATGGACCGCACCTCCACCAGGTGCTGCTTCTTGATGGACTTCACGGCTGGGCAGCAGGAGCGCAAGAGGAGGGGTGGGGAGACAGGGCAAAGCATGAGGACCACAAGCACACACGCTGGGCCCGGGTTCCTCCCAGGGAGCTATGGGACAGAAGGCCTCAGCCTCGATCCCTGCAACAGCCAGGTGAGTAGCTCACCTTCTAGGTGACCGACCTGAAGACCTTGCGGAACTAAGCCTAACTGCAAACATTCCTTAAAAGCAGCTACGACCTATGAAATGCTCAGAATTCCCATTAGTTCCTTTATCTCCATAAAAATTAGATGTGCATTTAACTTTTTTTTTTGGTGAGGTTTTTGCTATAGGGCACATGCACTTGCCAGAAAGACAGACACAGAGACAGAAAATGAGAAATCACCCCCTAGGGGGATGACCGCACCACAATCCCTTCTCCATTCTCCTCTCAGGATCCTGGGCATGCACACACATGCACCCAGCGTGAGTTTAAGCCACCGGGTCCACTACATGGGAGTCCAGCGACATAGCCATAATGCCAACTTCTGGTCCTGTGCATTTAACTTTTAATATCATTGTGCATTTAATTAATAATTTCAACAAAGATTTATTTTAAGAGTTAGTCATTTAATTTTATTGATTCATTTATTTATTTTAATTTACCCAAAGAGAGAGACACAGAGAGAAGGGGAAAGTGAGAAAGCAAGCCACCAGGTCTGGAACTTGAACAGTGGTTGGCCACATGGGAGTGTCCAGTGCCTTAACCACCATGCCACCCACTGAGCCCTCAACAAAGATAGTTCTTTCCTTTATTTTAATTTAATTCCATTTGTTATTATTTTTTTAATTTGACCAGACAGAGACAGAGAGAAAGAGAGAAAGCAAGCTGCCAGGTCCAGGACTTAACTGTGGTTGGCCATGTGGGAGTGTCCAGTGCCTTAACCACTATGCCACCCACTGGTCACCTTAACCATTACGCCACCCACTGGCCCCTCAACGAAGATATTTCGACCTGCTACAATTGAGAAGCTGCTTGACGGACTATGAGAAGCCGTGGAATTACGTTCTAAAAGCAGTCACTGCATCCCGCAAGGTGAAACCAGAGCGCTATCCAGAAACCTCAGTAACACCTGGACGTGATTCCTCAGCAGGTGGGGGCCTGGATTAAACTCCAGCCAGGGCCAGCGGGAGGAACGGAAGCGACTCGCTGCTCAGGCCAGGCCGGGTCCACGCAGACGGTCACAGATGGGCCCTGGCTACTGCACATGGGTGCCCACGACCACGGCCGCCCGGGAGGCTGGGGCTGCGTGCACCTTGCTGACGGAGCTTGTCTTCACTCTCGCGCGAGAGGAACCTCCCCACCAGATCCCGCTCTGAACAAGCACCTACAGCTGGCTGCTGGGCCGTGGCCCATCGGTGCTGAGGTGGGGACTGAAGAGGTGGGGTCCCTTAAGGACCCCAGGTTCTACACTGCTGAGGAGGGAGCCCTGGGCCTGGCTCTCAGGCACAGCTGAGGACGCTGTGGCAGGGAGGACCTCGGACCATCTAGTCCCTGCCTCTCACGACCCAGGACACAGACTCTCTGGCCAGTGCTGCCAGGCAAGGACACTTTTCTTTTTTTGAGGCTTTTGCTATAGGGCATGTGCGCTCACCAGAGAGACAGAGAGATAGTAAGCGAGAAATCACCCCCCAGGGAGGATGGCCATGCCGCAATCCCTTCTCCATTCTGCTCTCAGGATTTTGGGCACATACGCACACACTCCTGGTCTGAGTTTGAAGCCTCTGGGTCTGGGACTTGAACAGTGGTCCACTGACATAACCATTATGCCACCTGCTGGTTCCAAGTACGCTTTTTAAAGTTTACTTCCAGGGTCTCATCATGCTCTCCTTCCCCAGCCCTCAGCTTGTGGCAACTATGGGGACACGTGGTCCTGGCATGTTCCAGCTCCACCCAGGCTTCGGGCACTGCAGATCAGTATGCTGCTGCTGTGCCCCTCAGGCCACGGTCCTGCTTCTGCAGCATCTCACAGGCACTTACGCACGGACAGCGAGGGGTGCTGCTACCAGTACTGGCCTGGCCATCACTGGCTGGGACCAGACTGTGGTCAGAAATCTGATGCCGAGCAGCTCACGGTGTTTCTTGGTGAAATTCCGTGAAGTCAGCGATCGATCGGTGGCAAACTTACATGTCATCAACAACATATCTATAAACAAGTGACTCAGGGACCAGCGGCTGGCATAATGGTGGCATTGGTGGACTCCCATGTAGTCCTGGACCCAGCGGCTTAAAACTCACACCAGGAGTGTGAGTGTCAGAGTGTGTGTATGTGTGCGTGCGCACAAGCACACATACCCCAGGAGGAGAACGGAGGAGAGGGGCCATCCTCCTGGGGTGATTTCTTACTCTTTTTCTGGTAGCACGTGTGCCCCATAACAAAAATCTCTCTTAAGAAAAAGTGAGGGGCTGGCGGGTGGCGTGGTGGCTAAGGGCACTGGACACCCACATGGCTCACTGTGGTTCGAGTCCCAGACCTGGTGGCTTGCTTTCTCACTTTCTCTCTCTCTCCCTCTCACTCTGTCCCTCTCTGGTCCAATTAGAAATAAATAAATAAAGTTTAAAAAAAGTAGATTGACACAAAGCTGATTATGTCCACTTCCTCTTATTAGAAAGGTGTTGCTGTAGTAAACGCAAAGTTGCTTCATAGGAACTTTGCTTTCAGAAATAGACACTCTTACTTAATGAGAATAGGACAGTGTGGAATGGGGGGTGAAGAGAAGAGGATAGAGAAAGATAGCAAGTGAACAATAGAGAGGCAGGATGTTAGTGAGAAACAG